TTTGAAGCTCCATGCATCACATTTCATTCCCTCTCTCCCCAAAGAAAGGCTCCCTCCCTTTCCAATACATGGCTATCAGTGTGTACCAAAGTATGCCTGTGTGCATATGCAGGCCGTCTTGCTTTTGCACCATTCTACATTTGTGGGATTCAGTGACTGGCTTAGTTAAGTAACACCTGTGCCCCAACAACACAGTTCAAATGGCAGTTCCCACAGTGTATTAAGCAAGGAGTTAGTCCACCAAAGCTGAAGGTGCAGCAGGGGTGGGAGAGCCATCGTGCTGCAAGTGACAGGTGACCTACGCGTAATTGAACGCGTAGAGGAAACAGCTGCGGGTGGCCTGCCGCCCGTGGAGCTGTTGGACAGGCTTGTAGCATACAGCCAGTGGTCCCAGGGAGGATGCGCTCGCCAGCGCTGAGGAGCACTGTGGTGCTGGTGGGAGGAGGAGGAGGATGTTGCAGAGGAGGCGACGACAGCACGATGCTTCACACGGAGGGGTCTCCCGGGAGTGATTTGTGGCATGAAAAGCGCAAAGGATAAGATGTTGGAAGCTGATCCAAACTCAGAAAGGCGCGCTCCGCTTCACCGAGCCTGGAGAAGATGTTTTATCCCTTCTGTTTTGCAAGTGATTTGATGAGGAGGCCAGCACTGCTATTCCTGCTCCTGATGAGCATTTACTGAGAGAGACACCTTTCATTCTCAGTGCCTCCGGTGTTTTAAGTGACAGTGTACTACGTCAATAGTAGTTCTACCATCCTTCCGTTTCTCTAAAGTTGGGATTTTTCATTGTTTTGGACAAGTGTTGTGAAGATCAGAGGACAGTCGTAGTTTCTGTCGCGAGGGTGAGGTGGCTTGCGTGGCCATTTTCACGGCCCTGTTCCTGTGCTTGGTGAAGGCGCGTGCTCCCTGTTGAGCAGCACTTGCCCTTGGTCTTGATGGAGCGTTGTCTGAGACTGATGCGGATGGCCCCTGCTTCTTTTCTGAGTCAGTAGGATGTTTAGAAGTCACACCTGTTGAGAGAGTTTGTTTTCGCAACGCAATTTTATTTAAAATGTCTGCTTTAAAAAATTTTAAGCCACATTTTTACTCCCAAGATTGTAAAAGTGTTTGTTCCTAAAAGAAAAAATATATACTAAAACAAAAGTTACAGTACTATTTTATTGACTAAGTATGTACTATTGTAGGATATACTTTCTATTTTAGTTTTCTTTTGTAGTATAAATCAGTGGAGGATCAAGGGTTTATATTCATTCTCTAGAGGACTTAGGTTTTAAAGAAAATAAAACTTGTATTTAGTAATCCAGTGGTATTTACTTGGACAATTTTATTTCCTCATTATTATATGAAGGGCCTTCAGAAACTTTGTGGAACA